ATTCAATTATCATCTTACCTTCATGGTTTCTCACAAGAAATCAGCATTTGAACTTACTGGTCCCAACTATGTAAGTGATATTTTGTTTTCCATGAACTGTTCCCAGATTTATTTATTTAATTTTGTGTTTCACTATGCTATGTTGTGGTTACATTGGGTGTGTGTGGGGGAGTGTCTATCCTTTATTGAGTTCATTGAGCTTCCTGTATGGAAACTTTCATGTCTTCACAATATCAGGGATATTTTCTGCCAGTAAATCTTCTGTACTTTTTTCTCTTTTTCTTCTAGAATTCCTTTAATGCATAAATTAGTCCTCTTGAGAGTGTTTTACATAACAACCCAAGCTCTCATCATTTTTCTTCATTGGTTTTTTTCTCAAACAAATTAGCATCAAGAGATTTGTCTTCTATTTTGCTGCTTTGTTTTTCCATCAATGACATTCTACTTATATCAGTGGTTCTCAACCTTCCTAATGCTGCGACTCTTTAAGACAGTTCCTCCTGTTGTAGTAACGCCCAACCATAACATTATTTTCGCTGCTACTTCATAGCTGTAATTTTACTACTGTTATGAATCTTAATGTAAATATCTGAAATGCAGGATGTATTTTCATGGTTACAAATTGAACATAATTAAAGCATAGTGATTAATCACAAACAATATCTAATTATATATTGTGAAATATTTATTTCTAATGACAAATAATGAAAATTTGCTTTGAAGCGTGGTGTAGCATAGGTCACAGTCTTCATGCCAGGTACTCGTCTGTGAGCGTATCTGATGTGTGGCAGCGACAGCAGCCCAAGAGTACACTGTACTGCTCACTGTGAGTGGGCCAGTATGCAAGTGGGTGTGATGGAGCAACTGTGGACATGAGAACACTCTTTGTCACTTGCTATGTGGTTAGGCAGGGAGTTGGGCAACAGTGTGGCTGGTGATAAGTGGCACAGGCACTCACTGCTGCTCACGAAGTATGTGGGTGGTGAATGAGGGGCATGTGGCAGGCAATTAGAGGTGCTGGAGTGTTCCCTGATGCTGGCCAGGTGTGTGTGGTGGTGGGCAGAGGGGAGTGGTAGATGGTTGAAGATGTGGGAGCACACCCTGCTGCTTACTTAAATGGGTGAGGTGGTAGGAGGGAAGTGTGATAGGTGACTGAGGTTAGGGGGTGCTCCCTGTCATTTAAATAGGTGGGTGGGGCAGCAGGTGGTGGTATCATGGGCATCTGGCAGCCCTGGAGCCTCTGCTACCACTTGCTGAATGTGCAGTGGTGTGGGGAAAGATGGTGGAATGCCTGGGTGTGGGGAAAGGAAAGCCTTGGATGGTCCCTGAATGTATAAGTGGGGAGGGGCAAGTGGGTTTATGTCACAAATCAACTTGAGACAGAGGGAAGGAGGGTATACAACTTTGGTCACTATATATGGGTGCTGGCTTACTTTCCATTGGCTGTAGCCAGCAGTTGGGACCTCGTCTGGGCTGAGTGTGATGACAGGGGCTCCCTGGAGTCCTATAAGATGGAGGGCCCTTTGGTGATAGTCTACGTCTATTACTCCATGTGAACCATCTGCCTTAATGGCCAGGGGCTGTTGCTGCTGAATAGTCCCGTCTCTGGATCTTGATTCCCTTCCCACTTTATGGACACTATCATCTTAGAGTTCTTTTCTTCCTTCTTGTTCTTTCTGTCCTTGGATTTTATTCCTGTGCTCACCTTGCTTCCCAGTTATGTCTACTTAGTTTATGTGTTTCCTACTGGGAATTCCATGAATTTGCTTTTTTATGCTCTTAACTGTCTCAAGGTGATCATTCTGTGCTGGGCCAGCAGGCCGAGTACCTCTCTTCTTATCTCTCCCCTTGTTTGCGGTTTCTGTTCAACTTTTTCTCCCACTGATATTTGTTCTAATTCTTTGTCCTTCCATTTGATGCTCAGGATTCCAAGGCAATCATCTGTAGCTGATACACTTAGTTTCTTGGGTCTCCGCTGTGGAAGGATAGCATGACGTGTCTGACCAAGCTGCCACCGTGGGGTTATATCCCCCTTGTTTATGATTTTCATAGAAATGACCCCAGAACCTCACTCCTCAAAGCTAGATTACTCTCACTAATCTAATCGTTACTGTGAATCTGAATTGACACTATGGCAGTGAGTATGGGTGTGTAAGATACACAGACATTTAATCATACTATGAAAGTACTTTTACTTTACCATGATATTTCCAGTGAGTTAACTTTTTTCAAAATTGAGGCTTATATTTCTTTTCAATGTCTATTGGAGAGTAAGATTATATCATACTTTCTTCCCCCTTTTTGACTTATTGATATGCTATAAAATATGCATTATTGTTACTAATAATAAATTATATTTTCATTCCTGGAAAGAATTCTGTTTTTTTAGAATTAAAAATATTCTATTGAATTTCTTTTGGTATTATTTGTGATTTTTGTATGTATAAGTAGCATTATTTTTGCACATTTTGTTTAATCTCTGTCTGTTTTAAAAATTGTTGTTTTGCTAATTTTAAAACTTGAATTGGGTAACTTTTACCCTTACATACATGATACTTACATGTAATTTGGCTTAATCATTTAAGTAAATTTTGATCAGGAGTATAGTGAGTTTATTTCCAGAAAACAAATTTGATTCAATTGTATTAAACGAATATAAAATTAAGACACATCGAATACAAAACTAACATATATCTAAAAAAGACTACATGAAATTATTGAAAATAATTTTTACTTACTTCCATTCCCAGAAGTTTAAGAGCTTTAGGCTGCAAAATGAAAATGGAAAATAAATTAATTCATTCAATAACTAATTTAAGAGTAGTACTGGTAATATAATATTAGTGGCATTAATGTTAGAACCCTGGTGGTGTGGTGGTTACCCATTGGGTTGTTCATTGCAGGGTCACCAGCCGCTCCACAGGAAACAGATGAGGCTTTCTACTCCCATAGAATTATAGTCTTGGAAACTCGCAGGGGCAGTTCTACCCTGTCCTATAGGGTCACTGTAGGTTGATATCAACTTAATGGCAGTGAGTTTTATTTTGGCATTAGTGTTAGTAGTAGAAAGTATGGATTGAAAAGTACTTTGTATTATTAACAGTATCAAAAGAAGGGGGATGTTTTAACATGAAAAATATGCTTTGGTCAGCAAAAGTCATTTGAGGTGAAAGAGTTGCACAAAGTGACCCTTATTCCAGGAAGAACCAAAGAAGTTCTAGCATATAAATCCAAACACAGAACTATGAGGCTCTAAGAAGGAGGAACAGTCCCTTCAAGAAAGACCTATCATTTCAAAAAAGCATGCAATAAGGGTGGGATTTTTGAAAGGCACAGATCAAGGGCAAAGATATAGCAGGTACATTAATAGAACTTGATTTTAGCAGTGGCTCACAATGTGGCGATAGGAGGGATCCACCAAAATTG